GAGTACAGTAGTTCGTTGGCATTAGCCCGGCGCGAGTCGCCAGTCTACTAGGTGTCGATCGATCAACAGCGCACTCATCGAGCCATGACATCACCATAGCTGTTGGCGCGACAGTGACACGAAAGTCGGAACACCTCCCTAGCGGCAAGCAGCTAGACATTCGAGTGACGGACGCCGGCAGTGCGGAAGCATAAGAGGATTCAGGCAGGAATGCTGCTGCTACAGGTACCATAGTATGCAAGACAAACCGCGTGGGTTGTTGGTGAGGGATTCGTACGAGACGGGGGAGTCGGCCGGAAACATAGCTTGGAACCGACAAGCGTTCCACGCGTAGGAGTGTGGTGGCATTCTGCAGCGGATCCAACCAATGACACCTTTTGCTCCCAGTGAAGTGCATCTGTCGACGACTTGAACTGGAAACGGGGTAAAATAAACTCGGTTTGAGGTAGGACGTCACCGTCGTACGGGCGAGACAACGAGTCGAGCTGCGTGGGATAAATGGGTCTTGGCCGATAGCGGTTGTTGAATGAGACCGGCCGAACAGACGAGCGGTGCCGGATGTCCCCGCTTTTGGTGCCATGTCAGGTCGTTCATGGCGCCCGTCGGGATTGGGAACGGGGGGGCCGTGCTCGTCGTGGAAGGGGGAAACGTGCCAGACATGCGGTGCCTCTGAACTCAGTAGTAGTACACTTGTATGCTTGGTTGTCGCGAACAGAACACGGGGTGTAACTCGTACGAGACGGTGAATCCCATGCCGCACTATTGTCGAGAGCGAGTCGTGTCTTCGTGCGCGTGCATATTGCTCTTATCTCCTATGTCCCCTTGATCTGCAGCTAGAGAGAGACCCTGAGAACCCTGAGGAGTTGGGACCAAGTTAAGCCGGATGGATATTCGATGGATAACTCATGCTGCGCCCAGGGCAGCTAACGCGCACAAGTCCGGCTCATTTCCAGAAACACTGGGACACTTTTTTGATTAAATGCGCTAGGCTGAGGCGGACGAGCGAGCGACGCGACGCGGGCTGGAGGATGGAATTGCGCTCTCAACTCAAGGCGAGAGCTCCTTGCAAGGAGAGGATTTGGCGAGCGAGTGGCGCATAATTGTGCGGCAGTGGCTTTTCTCATCAATGATCCCTGGTCCTGTCGGCGATCAGAGACAAGTCACAATCTTGTCAAGTTGCCTCCCAGTCCACACTGAAGCGAACCCCCCAAATTCCTTATCCTCCTCCCCCGTGCCCCCAAATTTGGCCGGTGCGGGTTGGTTTCACATTTTTCTTGCAGGCTTGGTCGTTCAGACGATCGCGTTGCCGCTGGGCATCCCATTCCTTGGACTTGGGAAATTGGGGGTTCGCTGTGCGCATCCTCAGTGTTCCGCAGAGGGACGTGCTACCGTACCCTTTTTTTTCTTGCCCTTCCCACGCTCACGGTTTTACATGTCTGAGCCAAGTTGGAACCGGTCTCATGGCATGATGACATTTGACGTTGACGTTTGGCAGCCACACCGATAGCTCCGGCTGACTGGTGTCTTGTGTCTCGTGTGTATGTCGTCGGTTGTTGTGCCGACCTTCTTGTCTCTCGTGCTCGTTCTCGGTACGGCGGCAGGCGGCATGCGGCATATCACTGCACTGGAAAAAGCGCCCTTGACCTCTTGGAGACTCTTGCATCTGTGTGAGCACAGAATTGGCCGGTCGGTGCGTGCTGCAAGCCGTGGACAAATGAAGGGTCCCCCAAGACCCCTCCTCGTATCCGTATAAAACGGGGCTGACAGGCGGCCCGGGCAAAGAGGGCATGGGATTTTGTGAGCGTCTGCCTTCTTACATCTCACTCCCTGGCATTAAAAGTCTATTCAGAGACACGAGATCTCGGTGCTCGCGGCTGTTGCCAACTGAGAAATCGCCGAGCGTCCGTAGACCAAGATTCAACCCAGGGCGCGGATGAGGCCGTAGCCGGGACTCTCGGCGGCTGAGAGAAGGAAGCAATGGGACAGATGCAAAGGAGGACATACAGTACATATTAGTCCGTACATAGTCGTCAAAATTGAGGCAATCTTGGAGACGTCGAGGTTGGCCGGGGCCTCCCCCATTTCGCCAGATATTGAAAGTGGCTTGAAACGACCCTTATTTTCGGACAGACCGGGCTCTTAGTTTCTCCACGGGGGCCCGGGAGGCTCAAAACTCGGCGAAAAGCAACACTCGGTAATGTCATGGAAGAAAGAAGAATGAAAGTAGCGAGAGAAAAATGAAGGCAGGGTGGGGGATCCCTCGCTATCAAATCAATCGGTGATCGCGATGGAGAGGGAAAATCAAAGGTGAACCATGAAGGGGCCTTCCAAGAGCGACCACGGCAGGGCTTGGCGCTAGTGCGGGCAGTGGTCTGCAGCAGGGAGTTGGAGCTACCGAGCCAGTCAGAGCGATAGGAAGCTGTCCGCGGCATCCATTCTGGCAGTGGCACTAACACCCCAGCGGAAGGAAGAAGGATACGCGGCATGGACGGCGAAGCAGAAAGAAGCAGAAGACGGCCGAGAAGACTGGGAGCAGCATGGGATGAGACTCGGTAGACTTGTGAATTTACACGTACTTGGATAACACGAGCATGACGCTATCAGGCGGAATCCACACCACGGCGGCCTCGAGCCATTATCCACTGTCGGTGGACTGGCATCGAGGATTGCACAGACACTCGGTGCCGTGATTGAGCAGGTGTTTTTGGAGGCTGAATGCTGTGCTGTGCTGTGTTGTGTCGACTGCCGTGGAAGGATTACTACGCGGTATGGGTAGTACCGTACAGACAGACTATGGCCTAGGTAGTTTACAAGTAGTAGACACGAGGCATAGCCATAGCACGAGTGCGTACGCAGCTGAGTCTTGCATGTCGTCGACCTGTAGCGTAGCAACAACCCACGTCGCTGGCGCGGCATTGGTGCTGGAGCTGCAATGCTTGTGGATTTTCTAGTGGAAATGCTTGGCTGGGAGTGGGAATTGGGGGACGGCGATGGAAGATGCTAGCGCAAGTCCAGCATCGCAGGCTGCGGACAGTGAGGCGACGCGCCATGTCTAGTGTCGATGACATGGAAGATATGCAGAGAATCAGAGGCCACAATTGACCCAGGTGGTCCACATCACATCCACGAGTGTCCCTTGGCGGCCATGATCCACGCAAAACGTGCATAATGGTGGGCGACAACGGGTGTTTCTCACCTTCTGGTAGGTACGACGGACGGCGGGTTCAGAGAAATCACGATATATGAAAGAAATGGACAGAATGGGAGACGGGTAGCGAAAGACTAAGCGTACCGCAGTACAATCTACTTGACGTACATTACATGCATACCTAGTACAAAAGCACAAACGAAACAGAGCGCTGAGTGAGCCCCAGTATATCCGTCGTCCCTTCAGCTGCCGTGGAAACCAGATACCCATGTCCATCTGAAAGACGAGGGAGCGGGATTCCGCAGAAGCAGATGGGAAAGACCATGTCTGCCCCCTCGGGCATCTCCTTTGCATGGTGCACGTTGGGCGGACTCGATGCGGCGGCACCAAGTAATTACCTACCATAGTACAGCGGTAAACACATCGTCCAATTCCACGACTGCAAGCCCAAGGCTAAGTGCAATACTACTAAGTGCTGCATAGTATTACTATGTAGTAAGTGCAAGTGAAAGTGCATGTGTCCCATCCAACACCGGCACCGACACCAACACCAACACCAGGAACCCCGCGCAGGTCTCATTGGGCCACCTGCTTTCGGGACAAAAACAGGATGTGCATCGATAACATCATAGCTGCATCAAGCCTGGCCTGTAACCTTCTCAATCCCATGCCCGCTATCCACTGCCACCCTGTCCCCTGCCATGCCGTGCCAGGCCATGCTCCTTGCACACTGAGGTGCTCTTCCCTGCCCTTGCCTGCTGCACTCACTCTTCGCCGCCCACTGCACTGCTGCCCTCCACTCCCTCTCCACCCCCGAAAAAACAACAGCTGCTGGGTGTAGCCTGTCATCCCTTTTGCTGGCTGCTTTCTGCCCGGCGAACACCATCTTGATCCCGTCATTGATCATTCCCATACCAGCCTGAACTATCCTGACCCTGCCTAACCCAACCTGCCCGGCCTTTTACCTTTCACATCGTCTGCCTCTGCCTTTCTTCTCACATTGCCTCATCTCACTTCCTCACCACATTTTACCTTACCTTAACCTTCTTGGCTGGCCCTGCAATAGTGTGTAGTCCCCTACCTTTGGTACACACGCAATCCCTTCCGGACTTTTTTGTCTGATCTGATCTGATCTCATTGTCACCCTCACCTAACCCGACTCGCCGCGCGCGCGTGTGTGTCTCTCTCTCCTCCCAACTCCGGTCTTGCAGCACCACGAGGTCTTGGTCTCGGTCTCATTCTCTGGTCTACCTCGACAGAACTGACGTCCGCACCCACCCACCCAATCATCCGAATTTACACACCAGACGCCCCTCCGTTGCTACCCTCCTTCACGCATATTCCCTTGTCTTCCAAGCAAGCTAGCTAGCTCGTCGGACCTCTACTGCACTCCGACCCTCTCCAAACGGCTATTCCTTGCTCACCTCCATCCACTCAGGCACACGTCCTGACAGGCAAGATAGACATCTGAGAGACCCTTATTACCACCCCTCCTCCGCCATCCACACTTCCTTTTGTACCTTCTTCTTGTCCCCTCCTCCCTTATTGATACCTCTTCTACTGTCCTCCATCTTGGATTTACCTCTCTTCTCTTATCCACCGCGCCCTTCGATTCGCTGTCTCGTTGACAGAGACACCACCGCTTCTCTCGCCCCCCACGTCTGCTGTCGATTTGTGTAAGCGCCCGAATACGCCAATTGACCTCGACGACCCGCGTGCTTGACGACGTTGCATGGCCCGATAAGTCCATACTCGACCTTCACGGCCTCGTAGGCCTGGCCAGGCCGAGATTTTCAACAACGACGGTGGAATAGACGGGGCTCGGACCCATTCGATTTGCTGCACGTTAACTATGTCAACCAGAGAATCTGTCGCCAGCCGACAGTCAGTGCTGCCTACCATTCAGACGACACATCATGGCGACTCCAAGAGCCCGAGCAAGTCGGAAATGCGCAGCGTGTCGACGCCGTCGCTGGGAGGAAAACGACGCAGTTTCTTAGCAAAGACCTTCAGGAAGGTCAGCAGCAGCGCATCTTCGACGGACCTTGCCTCAATGGCCGAATCCACCAGCACCGGCTCTAATGCGCAAACCCGCCGAGTGCTTCACAAGAACAACGGATCCGGCGGCTCAAACTCCTCGTCCATCTTCTATCGCCTGAACCGCAGAGCGTCCAAGGACTCGTCTGCAAGCTCGCACATGTCGGAGGAGACGCCGACGTTTCTCAGCCCGAACCCGCCGTCTAATCCCGTCATTAGAATCCTCAAACATGGAGCGCTGAAGACCGACGCCAGGTTATGGAAGTCCCGCGCCGAGTACATTGTCTTGACCGAAACTCACCTTGTCAAGTTTAATAGCGCCGAAGCGGCGAGAGCTAACTTTAACGAGCTGGCACCGTCCTCGGGGCGTCTCAAGCGATCGTCGACGTCGTCGACATTGAGTACAGATGGTTCATCGGGTGACGGCCGCGTTGAGATTCCGCTGTGCAAAATTGTCAACATCTTCAACGAGGAGGGCGTGAGTCCTCACTTTGGGCTGGACGTGTGGTGGTCAGAAACTTCGCCCATGGTATCGTGGGCATGCACGAAGTTGTTTTTTGGCCTGCCTGCAGAGCGCGAAGACTGGATGAACGAGATACGCCGCGCCATCCGTGAATCCGTGGGTTCGACCGTTGTGCCCAAAGGGATTGTTGCTCCCAATGTCCAGTCCGCCATCCACCAGATCGTTGCCAAAGAAGAGCCGTCCTGCCGCGGGCTGCCTCTGGATATCTTCCCAGTGGTTCAGCGTACGACCCTCCTCAGTTCCAAAGCCGACAACCCTGAGACTTCCAAGAAGTTCCGTGACGGATCATCCCATTACCTGCTCCTTGGCCAGAACAAGTGCTATTTCGTCCGAGTAGCGAGGACTTCAGTTTACAAGGCACCTCAAGATATTGAGATCAACACCGTAGTCTTTGGTCTTACGTCCCTGGTCCGTTTAAAAGCCACCATGAGCCATCATGAAGAGCGATTTGTTCTTGGATTCCGGTATGTGCTCGGTCTCGCAATTGCCCAATGTGACCTATGACGAACTAACATGCAACAGCCTACCCTGTGAGGCCGAGAAGCGGCTCGAGTTGGCCAGTCGCTGGTACAGAGAAATCGTCATGACATTTATGAAGGCAGACCGCGCAGTAAAGCCAGCTTGGCCTCAGCATATGCAACGGGACATTTTCGACATTCGGGGCCTCACGGCCCAGCTTCTGCTGCCCTCGGGACAGGATTTCGGTGGCCTTAAGAGAACCCTCGAGGCTTATTGTGCCACGTTCCGCTGCCCACCTCCGGAATGGACTGTGAACTGGAAGTGCGAACGCCGAGAGCACTGCCCCGAGTTCCGCCTTCTCCCCTCCAAGGACGGCGGATACACCCCGCTCCAACTGCTGGCCGTGTTCAAGTCCCTCCGGTACAACGATTATTTCAAGGCACTTTCCTTCCGTGACGTCGACTTGGCACCCCTCTGCGGCCTGACAGATCACCCAGGATTCGAAGAGTCAATAGCAGACGTTTCTCGTGATGGTGAGTCACCACGCGCATACCAGAAGACTCTCGCGCTAACTTTCTCAGGTCTCGTGATCGATGGCGTACACAAGGACATCATCAAGTCTGCCCCTCTTCTGTCCCAGGAAATCCACGCGGTTGCCTTCACGTCTGGATCAATACGCAAGATTGATCTCACAAACGTCCTGGCATCACAGAACATAGTTGGTGTGTCGCGCACTCGAGCCGGATCCAAGAAGGAGCCTGAGGTCGTCCGTCCGATTCTGTTGCTCCTCAGAACTGGCAGCAGCCACTGTGACACTCTTCTGGTGGGAGGGAACCCTCTCACCGCCGCTGAGGTTACTGATCTTGGTAAGCGACTCGTCTGAACGATGCCTATGCGTAGCTGACCATGGTGTAGTCGACGTCTTGCACATTCCCGACATTCTGAGAGAGCTAGACATTTCCAGATGCAACCTGGACGAGAGAAGCCTGGAAGAAATCTGGGACGCACTACCTTCTCAAGGATATAGGCTGGAAGCGCTGAATACCTCTCGAAACATTGGCCATGTCGACCACATGGTTGTCAAGAGCAGCTTATCGCACTTCGCCTGTCTCCGCAAGCTCAGCGTTGCCGGCAACTGCCTAAGCCAGTTCACAGATCCCATATTCTTCGAGGAAACGATCATGAGCTGGGGTCTGGAGGAGCTGGATCTCTCAAACATGCACGTAAGTTTATCCGGCATCACAAGAATTCGTTGACGAAGCTCACACTTCGTAGCTCAATAACGCCACCCTGGACATCCTCGCCGGCTACCTGCTCTCGCAGGAATCTGCTTACCTACGTAGGCTCGATCTAAACGGCTGCGGCCTGTCCGGTTCCCAAATCGCCCTTCTCTTCCGCAGCATGGGCCAGGGCAGAGAGATTGTATGCTCCATCAACGGCAACTACATTGAAAACGGCATGGAGGACTTGTCATCGGCGATCGCATACAACTTTGGACCTACGTCGTTATTCATGGATATGATTGAGTTCCGGGACGAGGAAAACTACATCACGATCATCAAGTCGCTCTCGACCAACATGTCAATCCGACTGCTGAGTTTGGTCGGCACGTCGACCCCTGGACAAGTCAGCGAGGAGACTTGTCAGGCAGTCTCGGACTTCTTCGCCACCAACGCATCAATCCAGTACCTCGACTTGTCCGGATTTTCAGCCAAGTTAGATGAGGGTCAACTTGGACTCGGCTTCTCTCGCGCCCTCTCGGGTCTCGCCAGCAACAAGACGCTGCTCCACCTCCGAATCCGCAACCAAAAGCTCAACATGAACATTGGAGATTTGGCAGAGGCAATTCACATGAACCAGACCCTGCGCACGCTCGACGTGCAAGAGAACAGCTTCAACTTGTCAAACCTATCTCATATGGTGAGAAGTCTCGAACAAAACACGTCCATCCAGGAGTTCTGCCCGTTTTCCAAGACCGAGCTGAACCGCGCCATCAAGTCGAGCGTTCAAAACGTCGGCATGCCGACTGGGCCCCAAGCGGTCAAGAATCGCCGCGCTTCCAAGGTGCTCTCAAAGGCCACTTTTGAGAGCTTCGCCATGGAGATGGACCGCAACAACGCCCTGATGCAGAACCTCAAGGAGGAGTGGACTACCAAGTCGGCGCAGATTGACAGGATCCTCGAGAGGAATCGCACCTTGGCATACGAGGTAGAGATGGCTCGTCTGCAATGGGAGATGCCAGAGGACCCCGAGCTGGAGTGGATCGCCTACGATCTCAGCATCATCTTTGGCGGACTCGCCGCCAAGGTCATGAAGAAGCGCCCCGCGCCCAACCCCATGGACACCCCGGGCTTCCGCGGAAGCATGCTGGCGGCGGGATACCGTGGCAGCATGATGTTCGGCACCAGCACTCCGCCGATGGAGCAGTGGGAAGACTACAGCCTGAAGGCCGCGCCGCACCACGTATCCTCCGAGGAGGTTATGGACAGCCCCGCGACGGAACACGCCAGCGGCTCCTCCGCCCTGCCGACACCTCCCGAATGGGCTCCCAGCGAGAGTCCTGCCAAGGAGTACGCCATGTCTTCCAGCCTGCCGAGCACGCACAGCGACCCCCGCATCATGGAGGAAGGCATCGGCGACTTTGACCTCGACACACTCAAGTACATGATTCAACACGGATTCAACCTCGACGAACCGACGCAAGCGCAGCCCCAAGACGTCGGCAGGAGGCCGGGGACTTCCGTGTCTACCACGAGACTTGACTGAACAAGAAAGTAAAACGAATCAAATCACGAAAAAAAATATGAAAGAAACGCAGAAAAGGAAACGAAAAAACGAAACACGGGGATGGTGATCGGACCCCTTCATAACTTTTATTTTTTGAACACAAACTCCATCTTAGACATCAAGCGACGGCAACCGATCTTTTTTTTTTTTTCCCCTTTTTTCATTTGGGGGCTATCTCATGGTCATCATGGCGTTTCAAAGAGACACCCTTATCATTATCATTATCATCGAGGGATTGATACCCAGACTCGCTGGAAGTATTGGATGCGTTGGGAATAACACTGCTTTGGCGTTTAAAGGTCCGCTCGCTTGGAAAGAAGAACGCCCTTGGTTATGGGGGCAATAGTGTATAGGATGCTGTTCGAGGTGGTGTTTGGATTGACAGTTAGGGCTCTCCTGTGTAATACATAATTCGTGAGAGGCATCCTGCGATTGGTGTTCAGCACGACCTTTGAGTGATTCGTGAGTGGCTTTGTGTGGCATATTGACGTGGGAAGGTGCCTCGTTTGTTGAAGTGGGATATCACCATTCATTCTGCTCGCAAACAGAGCAGAGACTCATCATGTCATTCAACGTCAACGTCAACACGCAGCTTCGGACAGCTGCATGCACCGCGGCTAGACAGCCGGGGCCCACTCGGAGCCGAACGTGGTTGACCAATACCCGCGCTGGCGCCGTGGGGGCGGCATGCTCGGTGTAGGTCGGATGTGTCAGATTGGCGCTGTGCTCGAGGCTGAGAGGTTTCACTCCGCAACGGACGGCCCGTTATCGCTCGAATCCCTGGTAATATGTAAAGCGCAGGCGGCACGAGCATGCCGATGCCTCTTGTGCTTTGCCGCCATCTCCCTGCCGCAGGCAGCCGACGTGTCCAGACTCTTATGCCGCAGATGCGGGGAGCCGGCGACGGTATGAACATAATATGGGGCAGTATGATGGTGTTAAGTCGCCATGTGTTTAGAGCAAACACAAGCTTGGGTGTGCAGTCTCTCGGTCACGGGGTCTGCAGTTATGCGGCAATGTCCACCAGAGCAGCACCTTGAATTGTGGACTTATGGAGATATGCCGCTCGCACATCGTCATTGCGTGCAGTCAGGGCGGCCGAGTGGCACCTCAGGTGCATGGAGCGCAGCTGCGGGTGGTTGGTGGTCAGGTTGGCCTGGTTGTCGCTCTGTGCATTGGCGTGGGCGTGAGTAAGAACCTGCCCACCCAGAGTTTAGGAAATGCTTCTGTATTGTTCATCACTGGAAAGGTACTGGATATGATGATATAAGAACAAGCTCCAGCATATGAGAGCTCAATTGCGTATCCTTGGCCGTTTGCGAATCAAAAAGGGTGAACAAAGGTAAGATGAGTCTCCGCTAGAGACATATGCAAAGTCTTGATGCAATTGGCCGTCCCAGTCCATGCGGCCTCACGTAATGTTCTGCAAGAGAAGACCCACCACCTGTCCCAAGCCACATTGGGACATTGGGCAGGACGGGCCACTGATCCTTGCTCGGCCTACTGCCAGGTTCCAACTGGCAACCAACCACTTTGGCACTCTACGGGCCCCCGTCCAAGCCGCTGGCCGCACTTTCCTACTGAAACCTAACCTCCGTGTCAAGCTGAACACTTGCGAGAGCTTCGTCATCAGCGTTGCCATCACGTACAGCGACGACGTCTCACTTCTCCACACACCAGCGTCCCCCCTTCGCATTCACCACGCGGAATAGCATTCATCACACCACTCCCCATCGACGGAGTCCCTCCCGATCGTAACCTTTTGTGTCGCCGTCTAATCCATCGCCAGTCCGCGTCGGTTGCTCCTCATCGCCGTCAGGAGTGAGTCCTTCGAGCCCGACCTCGTCGGCCCAACCGCCCGCCATGTATTCGAACTCGAACGCTTTCCTGGGCGGCAACAGCCAGCGTCCCGGCGCGCAGCAATATGGAAGCTCCTTCGGCATAGGAGGCCAGCAGCCCGGACAGCAGCAGCAACCGAGTCCGTTTGCTCCTCAGCCCACGGGTTTCGGCCAGGCGCCGCTCCAGCAGCAATACACCGGCTACCCGGGCATGGCACAGCAGCAGCAGCCTCAGCCCACGGGCTTCGGCCAAGGTCTCCAACCTCAGCCGACCGGCTTTGGTCAGGGGCTTCAACCTCAGCAGACTGGCTTCGGCCAGCCCCAGCCGCAGCAGAGCTTCCAGACCGGCGCGCCGCCGATGCCCTCGATCCCCCCGCAGTTCCAGTCTCAGTTCCAGCAGCAGCAACAGCACCAGCAACAACAACAACAACCCCAGCAGACTGGATTCCCCGGTGCCCAGCAGCAGCAGCCTCAACAGACGGGCTTCCCACAGCCGCAGCAACCTCAGCAGACGGGCTTCCCGGGACTGCAACAGCCTCAGCAGACCGGCTTTCCCCAGGCTCAGCAGCAACAGCCGCAACAGACTTCGGCGCCGTCTCCGGCTCCTATCAAGCCGCAGGCCACGGGCTTCAGCCAGATGGCCGCGTCTTTCCAGACTGGAGGCACACCAAAGCCTGCGGGCAGACGTCCAAAGTCTTCCTCCAGCAAGATCCCCAACATCCGGCTGTCTTTCATCACTGCTCAGGACCAGTCCAAATTCGAGACGCTCTTCAAGTCCGCGGTTGGCGATGGCTCAGAGACCGTCATGTCCGGAGACAAGGCGAGAGACCTGTTGTTGAGATCCCGACTGGACGGCGATTCTCTCTCGCACATTTGGTAAGTTGGACTCCAGCACGTGTTCTCCCAGCAAGCACTGACGAATCCCCCTCTCAGGACTCTGGCCGATACGACTCGATCCGGACAACTGCACTTCCCTGAGTTTGCCCTGGCGATGTACCTGTGCAATCTGAAGCTTACCGGAAAGTCGTTGCCTTCGTCGCTGCCCGACAACATCAAGAACGAAGTCTCTAGCATGGTGGACATCATCAGTTTCAACATTGCCGAGGATGCGGGTCGCGCCACTCCCGGAAGCACGAACACGGGCAGATCGAGCACAGAACCTACGATTCATCAGCCCCAGCCTCAGGCCTCCAACTCCCAGCTGTTGCAGGCGCAGATGACTGGATTCCCTGGGCAACAGCAGCCTCAACCGACTGGCTTTGGGCAGCTGCAGGCCCAGCAGACTGGTTTCCCCGGCATGAACCCCCAACCAACCGGATATACGGGTCCTCGTCCACCAATGCCGCCGATGCCGACTGGCTATGGCAACAGCCTGACTCCTGGCGGAGGACCGATGGCTGCGCCCCTGAATGCTCAGCCGACTGGCAGACCTGGCCAGTGGGGTCTGGTCAACACGCCCGCGACTGGTCTACCAAACATTGATCTCCTCCAGGCTAGAATGATGCCTCAGTCGGGCCGGGAGGCGGGGAACTACACCACTCAGGGTCTGCAGGGTAATGCGGTTATTCCTTGGGCGATCACCAAGGACGAGAAGCAGCGTTACGATGCCCTTTTCAAGGCGTGGGACGGTCTCCACAAGGGCTTCATCGGCGGTGACCAAGCCATTGAGATTTTTGGCCAGAGTGGTCTGGAGAAGCCGGACCTCGAGCGCGTCTGGACTCTGGCAGATAATGGCAACAAGGGTCGCTTGAACCTGGACGAGTTCGCGGTCGCTATGCATTTGATCTACCGTAAGCTCAACGGCTACCCACTGCCTAACCAACTGCCGCCTGAGCTTGTCCCTCCCTCTACGAGAAATATCAACGAGTCCATCGGCACTATCAGGTCCATGTTGAGCCAGGAGTCCGAGTTCCGCAACAAGTCCGGCGCTGCTCTCCTGCCCCAGAAGACTGGAGTTAGCTACATGAAGAGCCACTCGCTCCGAGGCACGCCCGGCGGCCACAACAACGGCCGCAAGGATGCGACGGTGTTCAAGAACAACGACGACCAGGTTGGCTACAAGTCTTCCGCTCGCCGTCGTGTCGGCAACAACTCGCCCCGGCCCGAGTCCCCAGCCCCTTCGTCTGCCTATGACGACTTGAGTCTCGACCAGCTCAGAAAGAAGATCCGGGAGAAGGAGGTGCTCATTGATGCGATGGACTTTGCTGACGAGAAGAGTCTGGAGGAAGATGATATGCTTGACAGGCGCGACCGCCGCGAGGCCGAAGAGCTGTACCGTCGTATTCGCCGGGTCCAGGACGACATCGACTCGCATCCCGACGCCGCTCTCGCCTCGGGAGACTCAGATGCCGAGAGACGTGCGCTCAAGCGCCAGCTCCAGACTCTCCAAGATAAGGTCCCTGAGCTGGCCTCGGCGGTACGCAAGACGGAGAAGGCGATTGCGGACGCCAGGCTCGAGCTCTTCAGGCTCAAGGACGCCAAGGCTCACCCCAATAGCGCTGCTCCCATCGTCGGAACCGGACCTGGCGGTGCTGTCACGGAGTCTGACAGACTCAAGGCTAGGGCCAAGGCTATGATGCAGCAGCGCACGGCCGCCCTGACTGGTAAGAAGGTCGAGTCCAGCTTCGACGACGAGGGTCCCAAGCGCCTCGAGGAGGAGAACTTCAAGATCAAGACCGAGAAGGAGAACAACGAGAGCATGGTCAGGGATGTTGAGGACTCTGTGCGTGACTTTGCCCGCGGCATTGAAGATAACCTGAAAGAAGGTAACGCGACCGCCACCAACGAGCACGAGAAGCGCCGCTGGGATGATGCTCTCGGTGTCGAGGACGAGGTCAGAGACTTCATCTTTGATCTCCAGCGATCTAGCCGTGCTGCGCGTGTCCGGGCCCAAGACAAGCGTACTACGTCTAGATCACCCGCCGCGGCTGCCCGCGCTGAGCCTGCACCGTCAGCTCGCCACGACAGCCCCGCTCCTCCCTCGCGTACTGCGACTCCCTCGAGCGCCGGTGGAGGCTCGTACTCGTCCTACAAGACCCCCGAAGAGCGTGCGGCCTTTATCAAGCAGCAGGCCGAGCAGCGCATGGCTGAGAGACTTGCCGCTTTGGGCATTAAGGCTCCCAGTAAGCCTGGTGAGACGGCTGCCCAGAGAATGGAGCGTGAAAGAGCCGAACGTGCTGCTAAGCTGCGCCAGGCCGAGGAGGAGGATGAGCGCCGCGAAGCTGAGCGCCAGGCACGCCTTGCGGAAGAAACGGGTGCCCCGGCACCAGCCTCAACCGGCGGCAAGAAGCCTCCCCCACCGCCGTCTAGAAAGGGCGCCAAGAACGACGGTGCCGACGCTGCGCGTAGGGCCGAGGAGGAGCAAGCTGTTAAGCATGCTGAGGAGGAGCGTCTCGCGAGGGAACACGAAGAGCAGCAGCGTGCCACCCAGGAAATGGAGTAAGTTCCACCAATAACCATCCAAAATTAAAGACTGACTTTGTACAGGGCCAACGCTAGAGAGGCAGAGAATGACGTCGAGAAGGAGCGTTCCGCTACCGAGGCTCGTCTCAAGGCTCTTGAGGAGCAGGTCAAGGCCGGCAAGCTTAAGAAGGAAGAGGAGAAGCGCAAGAAGAAGGCTGCGATGGCCGAGGCCAAGGAGAAGGAGTCTAAGCTTGCTGCTCAAAGAGCCGAGATCGAAGCTGCTCGTAAGCGCGAGCTGGAGCTCCAGCGCCAGCTCGAGGCATTGAACGACGATGACAGCTCTTCTGATGATGAGGATGGGCCGTCTCAGATCACCCCCCAGGCGTCGACCCCTACTCAGGGTGGCAGCCAGATCAGCAGCCAAGAGCTGGAGAAGGAGTCGTCGCCGCCCTCCGTGCCGACTGTGGTCACCAGCCCGCCTACCGAGAACGAGAGCCGCAACCCGTACTTCCGCATGCTCTCTCACTCTTCTGAGTCGACATCAGGCCCCAGCGAGCAGGCAGCGCCAGCTGCTGCTCCCCCGGCGCCGCCTCAGCCCGAGGTGTCGACCAACCCTTTCCACCGCATGACGCAGGAGAGCAAGGCTGCGCCGGCAGCTCCCGCTCCCGCACCTCCCTCCGGACCCTTTTCCCGCAAGCGTCCTGACGACGACGACGACGGTTGGGGCACGGACAAGGACGACGACGAAGATTCCGATGACGATGATCGCCCGGGCGGCAGTAGCGCTGCGGCACTGGCTTCTATTCTCTTCGGCACGATGGGACCTCCCCGACCTTTGTCGGCCACCGGTGACAAGCCGTCGTCCAACCCCGTCAGCCCGGCGATTGGTAGCGGCCCAACGTCTCCCCCGCCTCCTCCCCCTGTGCCTAGTTCTGGCGCTCCTCCTGCTCCTCCTCCTCCACCTCCGGCCCCGGCCCCCGAGGCCCCGTCGGCACCGCCGCCGCCACCCATGCCCTCCATGGACGCACCGGGCGCCCCTCCTCCTCCCCCGCCTCCGCCAGGTATGGGAGCCCCGCCACCACCCCCTCCCCCTCCTCCTGCGGGCGATGCCCCCTCTGGCCCCCCGGCAGTTGGCGGTGGTCGCCCGTCCGGTTTCCTGAGCGAGATCCAGATGGGCAGGTCTCTCAAGAAGACGGAGACGCGTGACAAGAGCGGTGCCGCGACTGCAGGCCGTGTTTTGGATTAAGTCAAGGCCTTGTAGAGGCTTGACAAGGGTCGGAGGTAGGCCTGCACAGTCGCTGGGGTTGGTTAGGACGTAGATTTTATTCTAAGCGGCGGTTTGCGGAAATTGCGCTACATTCTCAGATCGGCTGTTCCATATAGTAATGCCTGAATCACATGTTTCTAATACGTATGAAGTGTCTGCATCGGCGTGATATGTGCATCGTGAAGACTCATTGAGGGCAATCCTAGTTACTGATCAGCAGTATCTTCATTTGATAATACATTATCGTCCTTGGAGCAATGTCACTTGCTTGTGCCTGTAACTAGCGGTATCAGTGAAGGCACTCGCTCAACAGTACTGTACTAAGCCGGCCTGTTAGTACGTCAGCACTCGCCCCCCAGTCTGCGAGTGTACGGCGCATTCGGGCCCGAGGGCGCGGATGGCGGTGCAGAGTAAACGCTGCAGAGGGGTTGCGTAGATTCATCCGCAACAGCAGGGGATTCGTCAACCTGCCCAACAGATCTTCTCAGCCTCGATAGACTGGATGGAAAATGGACATGCTCTGACCAGGCTTCCGTCTTTTGCCTTGGCGTCTGTAGACTCCTACTGGGGTTAGCTTGGAATAATGGTTCGCGCTGACAGGGCTGGGAATCCCGTTTCTTGGCATTTTTGTTTTCCTATTTGGGTAAGGCGTCTTGCTGTGTAAGTGACGACGATGTGGGCATTTTTGGTTAGCATGGCGGTGCGGTACGAGAGAATGATGTCTCCCGGCTGGTTAGGTTTTGTGTATAATAGCAGTGCTCTTCCTTCTGTTTATCACACGCAGAATCTGGGTTTGTCTTTACAGAAACGGCTGCAACAAAAGCACGTTTACCTCCTCATTACCCTGACGACTTGCCAGAAGACAAAACACTATACGTGATTGAACATGGCAGCCGGAGACCCCGGTATGTTCACTGACTTTTTTCATCTATTGTACTACTGCTAAGCCGCTCCCTAGTCTTATACAGCCTGTACGTGTACGCACCAAACAAATGGGCTCCCATCATCTTCATCGCCTTATACGGTATCTCGGCCGTCTTTCACATTTGGCAGTGCTAGTAAGTGCATCCTTATTTCCCGAGAACCGCATCTGACGCAGCCTCTTAGTTGCTATAAAGCGTTCAAGTTGATCGGTTTACACCCCGTCTGCGCCGTCCTCTTCACAGCGGGCTACTCCCTCCGCGAGTACGGAGCGCACCACTACCTGTACAGCGAAACCACCAAGACGCCCCTGATGGTCTTTGTCTTTAGCCAAGTCTTTATTTACGTCTGTCCGTAAGTAAACCGGGGTCTCCAGCTGTTTTGGCAGCATTCTTTAACACCTTGTCTTTCAGACCCCTCCTCGAACTCGCAAATTACCATGTCCTCGGCCGCATCTTCTACTACGTTCCCCACTGCGCACCTCTCCCTCCATCCAAAGTCCTGACTAATTTTGGCGGCCTCATGGCCGTTGTTGAGCTTCTCAACGCCCTCGGTGTAGCCCTCTCTTCCAACCCTTCCTCGACGCCCGAGAAGCAGGCGTTGGGAAGCCACCTCACGCTCGCTGCGCTCGGCATCCAGCTCGTCCTCATCGTCATCTTCATCTGCCTCGCGGCCCTCTTCCACCTTCGCGTCGCCAAGGCCAAGATCCGGTCCAGAAACTTAAAAACAATGCTGTCCACGCTGTACGCGAGCATGTGTCTGATCTTCGTCCGGTGCATGTACCGCCTGGTCGAGCACACGGGCAGCACAAAGGTCGACCTCGACGACATGGAGACCCTGCGCGGGCTGAGCCCCATCTTGCGGTACGAGGTCTACTTCTACGTGTTCGAGGCGAGCCTGATGCTTGTCAACTCGCTGATCTGGAACGTGTGGCATCCCGGGCGGTTCTTGCCGCGCGGCCATCATGTGTACCTCACGCGGGACGGCGTCGAGGTCGTGGGGGAGAAGGATGTCGACGCGAGGTCTCTATGGGCCAAGATGGCCAACATCCTCACCTTTGGTATCTTTTTCCGCAGAAAAAGGACCGTCCGGGGAGAAAGTGCGAAGTTGAGGGATCGTTCGACGAGCTCGGTTGGGCGGTGCGAGCAGAGCTCTTCTCTTTTGCCAGCCCCCATTCAAGCGAAGTGATGCAGTTGTTGATATATGATGTTTGGTGTTTGTGTGTGTGTTGGAGATTTTATGGAAGTGACCAAGATTTGGGCTTGACTTCCACCGCTTGACGAAGTTTTGGAGTCTGAGGCTACATGTCAAGTTTGGAAGGCTTCCTTCTGCTGCCGTTGATGAGTCCCTAGTGTAATTAGATAGTAGGGGCTTACCGGGCTCTTCCCGTCGCGTGATACAATTCATTTAGATTTCAGAGATTTCGACAATAAGGCTAGCGTGCCGGACGAGATTGAAGCCATTTGTGATTTGGAGAAAAAGTTTATATTCCTTGTGATCGAGTAAGGCTCAAATGCCGTTTTCGGTGATGAATGCAGAGCTCGTTGTTTTGAGATTGCCATCGTTTCTAACCTCAACATATATGCTCCTCTATCAATCGAAGCAGAAGCAAATAGGGCCACCCGCAAAACAAAGTCCATTGAGTTCGTAAAATGAACGATGCAGTTGCAAACGTCCGTCGCTGACATCAATTTGGAAAGGGGCTCAGCTCGGTCCCGGCAATGTGATTGGTCGAGCCCAGAACTAGGAGCTGTCGTCAGCTTGGAGACCAAACCTGGATATTTTGTGACTAGCAAAGTCTCGTTCATGCTGAGGCAGTATCGCTCGAACGAGTTCAGCCGTGCATCAACACACCCGTGATGGAGGATAGTCACAGACGCAAACGCCACTGCTGGGAGTGTCGTCGCCGGTGTCTCGTGTGCGACTTCACAGAGCCGGCGTGCAGACGGTGCTCGGCCGCCGGTGTTGAGTGTCCCGGGTACGGCGACGTCAAGCCTGTGAGACTCGAGTGGCTCGCGCCTGGGAGAGTCGTGTCGAGGGGCCGCAGAAGGAAAAGTAAGCGTCAGTCAGACGGGGAGAAGAGATGCCAGGTCAACGACGTCGCGAGCCGAAGTCAGATCCTGGCGAAGACTAGTTACGTGCCTTGGTTCGAGATGAAGATCGACGTCTGCGCCTTGCCTCAAGCCGCCGAGTATTGTGAGCCATTCATTCAAGAGGTTTCCCTCACTAGCCTGGACTGACTTTCGTCGCAGTCAACTCGTGCATCTACCAAGACCTAGTCCCGATCCACCAGTTTGGGCAAAATCCGCACATCTACCCTCTCACGGACAGGCACCTTCGCGTGGGGGCGAGGGCACCAGAGTACTTGCAGTTCGGCATGGTCTGTATGACGTTGAGCCACCGACTCAACCGGACGCGGAGCGACGTGCAGTCCAGAAAGGTCTTGTCCGAGAGGTTTTACATCTACTGGGGTCTCGCAGTTCGCTCGTTGACCGAGCATCTCAACGCGCAAGATAAGCAGACGAGCGACATGGTGATTGCAGGCATATTAACCATTCTGCTTGCCGACGTAAGTCCGCCATCCCTCCATCACAAGAAAGGAGGTACCAGCAGTCATCACAGGTCCAGAACGGCAATTCTCTGAACTGGCGCTGCCACATGGAAGGCGTCCACAGAATCATCTCTCTCCGAGGGGGCTTCCGCGCAATGGCTGGGTCGAGGAGGCTGGAGCCGCTGTTGCTTGTCCTCTGGTCGTACGTCGCTTGCCATCCGAGACCCCATCGTGCAAGATGCTGACCCGTCCCCCTTCGCACAGCGTCGCCGTGATTGGGAACACAACATGCCCGGCGTCAGACCTTGCCATGACGGATCTCCAGCTTGACGCTCTAGATCTTGTCGTCGATCAATACGTTACGTCGTCGTCGCCGTTCCAAATGTGCCCGCTGTCGCTGTATGGGGAGCTGATTAGAATCAATCATCTCCGATCACGAGCTTCGAGGTCCGGGTCCGAAAGTCACGCTCAGGAGGCACATGAGATGCTAGAGCGCATTCATGATTTTTCACCGGAAGAGTGGGCTAAATGTAAACCTCAACTTACGCCATCGTCTATGGCAGACTGGGTGGCCTTGGGGGCAATCTATAAAGCCGCCGTGGCTTTGTACTGCGTCCTCTCGCTGCAGAGCCTCTGCGTTCTCGAAACAACGACACTGCTTAGGAAAATCTGCGCAACATATGGCCAGATCCTAAAGAGCCACCTGGAGGAAGCTCTACAGTCTCCCAAGATGGAGCGGTTCCTCATTTGGCCAATGGTCCTGCTCGGAGTGGAGGCTGCACACGGCGACGCGGCGATGCGGCGTTTTGTTTCGGAGCAGCTGCCAGAGCTGAGCTGTAGTCTCGGGACCCATGTGCCCCTGACGGCGAAGCACGTCTTGGAGAGGTTTTGGGCGTCTGGGGAGACAAGGTGGGATGCTTGTTTCGACAGGCCGTACGCTTTCACGGCCCAGCTCGCTGTTGACACAAGCCGGCTGTCGCTCTATGATGAAGAGTGAAGAGGGTGGAAGTTACGAATATCTAGGATTCAGGCCACATCTAGTATGAGAGCAGATGAAGTTGCCCCTCGCAGTGGAATTTGCAAACAGCAAGGCAAGAATATGATATCAGAGGGACTATGCCGACAACATGCCAGCGTAAACATGTCAGCCTAAGCACTTTGTCCTCCAAGCTCCAGGGCCGCGAGCTCACGAAGCTGAGCATGGCTGGGAAAACAACAAGCTATGCCCTTGGTCAGAACTCACGATGCCGGTCCGTCCAAACCAACCATCCGTGCCGCCAGCCCGGCATGTCAACATACGATTCATCGTGACTGTGCCCGAAAGCTTTCGGCTACAGGAACAACAAGATGGACGTCAGCCATGTCAGCAGCCCATAGCAAAGACAGTGCTTCCTGCAGACACTGTATCCGTCCCGACGTCTGTCGAGTGACAAACCAGACGTGCGTTCATGCCATCTCAGGCATTTTCCCTCTCTCATTCGAGCTATATTAGGGGAAAAAAAACATCACCATCAAGCCAGATGCCCACGTCTCAAAGGACCCCGAAACCCATTGTCCTGACCCCCGCCGCCACCGGCTATTCAAAAATCCCATGCGTTCAGAAGCTCGAGATTACGTACATCCGCGTAGGCCCATCCAAACACTAGCGAACCCCCCTCAGCACGTTTTCCCTCTTCTTTATCTCAGAGTCTTGGCACGGAGGGGAGGGAGGGAGGTGCGGTCTCAGTCCGTCGTGTCAAACAAAGGAACTCGAGCTGGGTTGGATCAGCGCTTGCTACCCGTGTGGCGCAGAATAGAAAAAGCTATTTCTAGGGCGGTTCTATTCAGGCGGCGGGCTTTTGCCTTTCGATCGACGGGGTCCAGGGCGAGAGAGCTCGGGAGCGCGGACTCTCTCTGGGCTTCTACGACGTAACGAGCGCGAGGGATAAGGGCACACGGAACAAAATCCGGTGGTTGGAGGGGGAAGTAGTGCCGCTTCATCACCTGCGAGGGGGGGAAGAGGGAAAGAAAGGAAGCTGGTGATCGGACCTCTAGTTGGGGCCGCCCACGCGCGCGCGGGGTTGCGGATGGCGGATGGCGTCTTGCTTTTTTGCTTTTCTTGTCTACGCTACACATTACGATCGGATCTTTCTTAGTGCCGTTTTCTGGAAGTGAGGGGTGTGCCGTGTGTGTGTGTTCGTGTTCTCTTGAGATCATTTTTGGAAGCATCGATGCAAAGCAAGGAGACGAGAGTTTCGTACGATGCTGCTGTTGAAATGCTGCTATTGCAAAAAACACGCGCCTGGGGACGTGTGGGAAGTGTCGTGTTTTTATTTACATGTCGTTGCGGGATCAGTGCCTGATGACATGGTGCGCGCACCAGAGCCCGTCTACTGCTGCATGTGTCAACGTTTGTGTGCGATTTCTTGCATGATTCTTTGGCCTCACGGGGTTCACGGGAAGGCGAGTTGAAAGTGTCAGGCTAATGTAGGCGCGAGGTCAGTAGCCAAGTAGCTAACGGTAGATGCATCTGTGATATGGAGGAGGCGAAAGCTACTGCGGATACGCAGGGCACATCAACTACATACACAGGACTTTCCGGGGCTCGAGAGAGGCGGATCCTGGAGAAACTAGGCTGATTCTACGGTTGCAGTCGGCTAGGAGCTTGGGGAACAGGCGACATGAAGAAGGATACGGGGGTGGATCTACGGGATACACATGCAGAGCACAGAGGATTAACTGCCCGTGTGTATCCGTACAAAGTATCCTTTCAGACAGAGGGATTTTTAGAGTCATGTAAGTCCCTGGGGGAGGATCTGTATGTACAACACGTTGAGAAGGGGACGTGCTTTTTCTCCTCCCGTGGGACTCTCAGCCTGCTGCATGGGACCTGGACCCGGCGGTGCTGTCACGGTCAGAGGAAACGACACCACTCTATATCGACTTGAAACAGATGCACAGGGACGATCGTTCAACCTGGGCGAGGTGGGATGCAAAAGCTGAAGCTAGCTGTACTAGCTGTACTACCTTTACAAGCTCCAGATTCAAGCTTACCTAGTTCCAGTTCTGACGAGCTTCTATTCGGGGCCACAATCTGGCGGTGGGAATAGGTAGTTGGCCGCCGTTTGGTCAGGTCGGCCTGTTTGGAAGTGCGCGTTCGGTCCTCCGAGTCTGTGTGGTTGCAGCTTGGGAGGGCCTAAAGGGTCCGGGGTGGCGGTCCTTGGAAAAGAGGCGCCGAATTCTCGAAGGAAGGGAGAGCCTTTTTTGGACCTTCTTCTTCTTTTTTCGCCCTCCTTCGTTTGGTGCGCTCTCTAGCTCGAACAATGGGGTTCCCTCCAGGGCAAACCGAGGCCTTTTGCTCCAGAGCTATTGAGAGAAGGCCGCAGTGAGGGGCAGAGAAGGAGGCTGAGGGGGATAAGCTGAATGGCGCAAGAGGGCCTGGTCAATGGGCCGGAGATCGGATGATGGCCTCCATGTTTGCTTATTCTGAATGGGTCCTGATATATCATTAGCAGACAAAAGCCTGGAGGCGAATGCCGGGTCCCAGTCCTGCCCTTTCGTACGTAAAACGCAAAATCAAGGCAAAAGAAACGAATTCAAGGACTTGGTATGAAAGAAACAGTTGAGGGTCCTCCGTACGGACTATGCGTTGTCCATTGTTGGGGAGCACAGCAATGGAACGGTGGATGAGATCTGAGCGTGCCAACTTTGGTCGTCAATGCTTCTGGGATGTCGAGGATCACAGACTCGACGACGGATCGGATGGCCGGGCGGACGACGAACAAAGCCCTGACGTTCTTTTTACATAGCACGGTGCCCAATGCTTGCGGCTTGCCTTGCCTTGCCTTGCCTTGCCTTGCCTTGCCTTGCCTTGCCTTGCCTGCCTTGGCATTCCTGAAGAGACAGCTTGTCGGGTTTGTCTGACGATACGGGACCGTCGCATCGCATGGGCGCAGATGGAGCCGCTTGATGGGAGTGAGTTGATAAGGTAAGGCAGGCCTGGTCTTCTGCGCATGTGGTCGGGGTCATTGTGCGCTAAGATGCCGGCGTGCAAGGACCAAGGCGTGGACAGGAGTGACGGCCCTCTGGGACCGTGAGAGGACGACTGGATGGGGTTGGGACGGGACTCTGTGAGGAGGAGGAGGGACGGCCGGCACTTTGAGCGGGTATATCAAGGACAGGACTATTAATATCAGGGTGGCAGGGATACACGCTCCAGGGGGCCCAGCAAGAGAGCGACGTGAAGGAGATGATGGGGAGAGAAAGAGAAGGAGACGAGAAGGATGAAGAGAGGAGATGGGGCAGCACCGCAACACTGCTACCGTATCCTGGGTGAGTAGTTGAGTAGGCACAGTAGTGTGTAGCGACGGCGCGCGGGTGGTGGCCCGCGGTTGGGTTTGTGCATTTCAGTGTTCCATTGACGACTGAGCTGGCAGTTGGACGGGCCGGGGGCTTCATTGGACACCGGACCGTGCTTGATGGGACAAGGTGGTAAGAGGATGACGAGTAACTTTCCTGCTCTCGTGAAATATTTTCAGCGTTAATTTCTCCATCATATCAGCTGGGAAGTTGAAGGGGACGGGGGGGGGACTCGGGGGAGGAGAGAAAAATGCTCGATGATCGGAGGGGATTCCGTGAGAGATCTCGATGATGGAGCACACAGACTTTTTTTTCCCTTGATGCTTGGGTGTTCTTTTCTGCCCAACTTCTTTTCCAGGGCCCAGGCAAAGTCGAAAGTCGACCTAGTCGAGAGGGGAATCATGCCGAAACAGGGCAAGAAGAGTCAGAATCCGGGGCGAGCTAGATGCGTTGTCATTGATGTGCGAGATGGGATATCTCCCGTTGGGAAGATTTGCATCTTATGCGAAGATCGACTGACAGGGAACGACGACTGGGCTGAACCTTGGACGATGGGGGTCGTTTGGAGAGCTCGAAAGCTGCAGGCTTGCTGAGGTGCACTTCCCGGTTTGCGCCAGGCACGCCACTGGCCAGGTACGGCAGGTACGGGGGCTACCCCTCGCCGTTTGTGAGCCACATGCGCACAATTTTGGTGGTGGAATTCACATGGGAGGGGGCTCTGTCAGGTACCAGGCCGCCTGCACGACGTCCAGCCAGTAAGCGCTGAGCAGAGGTGTGGGCAGAGCCTAGCACACTGCCGTGTACGACTTGCTTGAACTGGGAAGTGGCTTTGAGAATGAGGTGGTGGTAGTGGATCTGGTGGGAGGAACACTCCTTCACTGGGACTCAGTGTCTGCCCTGGGCAGTGGGCTGGGAGTGGGAGTTTGTCCCAATTCTGGTTGAAACACTGTCATCCAGCCCAGCCAATGGGCCTCTGGGAGGTGGAAACGGTTTGATTGGGGACGGGCAGCCGGGGGCGCGCCCGGGCACGGGCAGAGAGACACGAGGTTTCTGGAAGACAAGAGCGACAAGAGAACATGTGTGTGAAGGGATTGGCCTTCCCGGTGCAGAGGATGATGTCACGTCCTGGAGGTACGTACTCGTTGCACACATCCATGGATGTTATCAGACGGTGGTCCGTGCATCACCACCCGCTCTGGCCTGCCTCAAATGTCAAATCAAGTCATGTTGCGTCGCACCGCATCGCCTTCGTCTTGAACGGCCAACGGCAACTGTAATGTGTATGTATGGATATGTAATGATAACCCAACGGATGACGGCCCTGAGGCGGCAGGTATCATGACTAGTGTCAGATGCCTCTCTGCCAGTGGCCGGCGCCGCTGTGCCTGGCGAGAGACTGGGCCCTGATGATGGGATACTGTCTTGGGTTCTGAACTTCTGAGACCTCTTTCCCGTACCTCTCTCGGCCGGCCTTGAACCCGTGAACACCCCCCAAGGTTTCGCCGCCGGTGGAGAGACACATGTCGTAGCAGAGGCGTCGCAATTGGCGCTGCGGCGCGCAAACTGCGAGAGACCTAAAACAACTTTAACCCGTCTGCCATTAAACCGATCTGTTTGATGACTCTGGTCTCTAATTAGGTCCCGGTCAACCAGTGCGCT